TGGATTAACCTTAGTCGGAGTTGTCAAATGGGTTGCACACAAACGGCTGTTCACATGAATCCAACTAAGCAACGATGACTCTAGCTTGGAGCTGAGAACGGTGCCCATACCAGCTTGACCAGTGAGTGCCGCATTAGTGTCTCGAGATGCGTGCAACCAATAACGAGAGAAGACAAGCATGGAAAGGTTAATTAAACAACCGCGTGAGGGTCATTGATCCTAGTCTCGGACACGCAGTACACGTCTATACCCAGGGTGTCCAACATGCGTGCGAGCGCAGCATGTCGACTTATCTAACTTAGAGTGCGAATGTTGAACGCCGCCAACGAAAAGGAGCAGCGCAGATTTATGAGAGACCGTTGCCGATAGGCGTCCAGTGGATGGTGCAGGAAGACAGCTGCAGATAGTAGAACTACAGAGGCATTGTGGCTACAGTCTATTAAGCTGGGAAGTATAAAAGGATGGTTAGTAATAGGAGAAAAGAGAGGAGCAAGAATCTGATGGAAAAGAAGGAGGTGTCAGCAGAAGCAGATTTTCGCTTATTCCCCCTGCTGTATACTGAAAATAAAGTGTCCCTTGATATTTATCTGATCTTGCGTCGACCGATGATAATAGTTTCCTGATTGCACTTGCGCCAACTGCTCATATCATGCTGACGCAAACTGTTGTAAATGGGATGATGTCTGTTGATAAACCGATCGTGGCCGAAAACTAAGGAAAGAAAGCGGAGACGCAGCTCGGTATATAGATCAGATCGAAATGTGAACAAGTAGAATACTGAATGCCGAAAATAGAGAGCTAGTAGACATGGGCCTGTGTCGCTCCGTCATAATTATTTCGGGCACGTGCGCAGTCACATCAGTGATTTCTGAGCGCTTGCTGCATAATACAGCTGCGTCATAGGCTATATGTATGTGTTTTGGAGGATCCCGAAACACGAAGCACCGCAAGATTGATGTAAACAGATTAACTGATTCCTCTGTCCAGACGAGCTATCAGTCTTCATTGGCACATGCACTCAGTTGCAATCCACCGCGAGAAGTGGAACAACACTGGACTTGTATACGGAAAGCGCTGACCATTTCCGGACAGTCATACTGCGACCTAACTCGACGCCCTTTGAAGTCTTGGATCTCTGCTGGTTCTCTGGAGCTCTTCGAACGCCGCAAAGATATCTCCGCGGAATCAGACTGCAACGAGCGGCGCCGCTCTACCAACCGGCTGCTTAAGCAAAGCCTCCGCAAGGATCGCGAGACATGGTGGTCTGAGCGTGCTTTAGAGATGGAGACTGCTGCCCTCTCTGGTAACACTCGCAGGCTTTTCCAACTCATTCGGTCCACTGGCCTCAGGAAGCCTGGTGTCAGTGAGGTCATTTGTGAGGTGGATGAGTCTCCGATCACCAACCAACAGAGGCGTATGGACCGCTGGGCCGAGCACTTTCACTCGCAGTTCAACTGGCCTCCACCATCCATCAGTACATGCAGTACACCTTGCGGTCCACCTTGGCTAGTCCCATTGAATCCACCCAGCGAAGCGGAAGTCTGCCTCGAGATTCGACGCTTGAAGCGCTTCAAGGCTGCTGGCTTAGACGGACTTCCTCCGGAGCTATTCAAGTACTGCGGTGTGGCAGTCATCAACCAGCTAACCGCGCTGTTCGCAAAAATTTGGCATGAAGAGAGAGTGCCTCCCTCTTGGGGCGAATCAGTTATTGTCCCAATTTTCAAGAAAGGCGCTCGCACTTCATGTGCAAATCATCGCGGGATTAGTCTTATTTCGGTTGCCTCTAAGCTGTTGGCATCCATTCTACTTCGTAGACTATCCCCAGTACGTGAATCGTACTACCGTGAAGAACAAGCTGGTTTCCGTCCTGGCCGCGGATGCGTGGATCAAATCTTCACGCTCCGCCAACTCCTTGAACATCGCCACATTTATCACAGGCCCACTGTCGTTGCATTCCTAGACATACGTGCCGCTTTTGACTCCGTTGATCGACCTGCTTTATGGCGTTGCTTACTAAAGAACGGGGTGCCAGAGAAATATATCGCCATCTTACGAGCACTTTACCTTCACACATCCGGCAGAGTGAGGGTCTATGGCAAGCTTTCCTCGCAATTCACTGTCAATAGCGGTGTGCGACAGGGCTGCCCTATGTCCCCATTCCTCTTCAACTTCGCAATCGAAGACGTTCTGTCGAATGCCCTAGAAGGTTTCCAACATTTTGGCCTAGAGCTTCTACCGGGTGAGCGCGCGACCGACTTAGATTATGCTGATGATATCGCCTTACTTGGTGACGATCCTCAGAGTATGCAACTCATTCTGGATCGTTTGGCGGTTGAAGCATCTAAGTATGGCATGAGCTTCGCGCCATCGAAGTGTAAAGTACTGCTCAAGGATTGGCTTCCACCTGCACCCGTGCTCACTCTCCAAGGTGCACAACTTGAACAGGTAGATAGTTTCGTCTACCTTGGGAGCTGTGTTTCCGCTGACGGCACAATCAACAAAGAAGTTTCGCTTCGTATCGCTAAAGCTCGATCAGCATTTGTCAATCTGAGGCACTTGTGGCGTCGTCGCGACGTCTCATTCTCACTAAAGGGTCGAGTTTACAGCGCGTCCATTCGCTCAGTATTGTTGTAAGGGAGCGAGTCCTGGCCGATTCGCGTGGAAGACATGCGTCGTCTTTCTGCGTTCGATAACGGTTGCTTAAGGAGGATCGCTCGTGTTCGGTGGCAACATCGAGTTACCAGTAATGACGTTCGACGTCGCGTCTTGGGGAATGCAAGTATTTCCTTCAACAAACTGGTTTTGTTGCGCCAGTTAAGATGGCTCGGTCATGTCCTACGCATGGCACCTGAGCGTCTACCGCGTCGCGCTCTATTCGCTCGACAAGGACCTGGCTGGAAGCGACCGCGTGGTGGTCAGCATTCCACTTGGCGGCAGCACATGAAATCGCTGACGTCGTGTCTAGCCGCTGTTGGACCCGTACGTCTTCCAGGATGGGGACCCAAAGATGGCGAGTGCCAATGGCTTAGGACACTTGAAGACATGGCCCGCAACCGGAATCAATGGAAGAATTGTGTACAGTGTTGTGTTGATTCACATGTTTAATTCTACAAAAATTGAAAATGACAAAAAAAGAACAAAACCGGCGTGTGACAAACAAACTAAAAATGTTTTATTCTGTATTTTTGTCAAAATATTCCATTTTCTTGCGGCATATTAGCTGAAGTGTGTTGCCCACCTTCAGCTAGCATGCCATGACGATTATGACGCAATGACTGTCTCTTATACACTGATTTCCATGGTTTTCTTGGCTCTATGTCTAGTTACTAGACTGTTGAGATTACATACATACATAGGCTATTCGGGTGCGATGTGCTCCCTGTAGCTGAAATCCGCAAAGCAGGTGTCAAGGAAATGCTTGAATTCCGACACCGATTGCGCCTCGACAATGTTCACAAGTAAACTGTTACAATATTTCACCACTAGCTGATCGAAGCATAGAGGGTGAGCTGTCAGCTGTAGACCCGGTACCAGTCAAGTCAAAATAAGTTTTATATACCCGACTGAGCATATTTATACCGGAGCCCTCGAGTGCTGCTTGGTGCGCGCACGTGAAGCAGTGGCTTCAGCATGGGGAAGTGACGCAAATGCACTAACTGATGCGTCATAATGAGGGTCAACCCTAAACCGCCGATATGATGGTGTACAGCTCTAGTCCTCTGAAGCGGTCTTCGTACGGTACACCCCGTAAACCAAATATGAGCCTTATATCTACATGCCGAACACATTCCAGTCTTTGCACCTCGTCACGGGTGATCAGACAATAGGCGGGTGATAACTTTGGTTATCGGTTCCGGGCTGGTCCCAAATGAGCTTGTACGCCGTTGTATCAAAGCCAATGTGACCGGCTATAGGGTCAATGAACATACAATTCTGGTTACATAAGTAACTAACGGAGAACGAATGAATAACCTTACTGTCCACCGGCTTCTCTGTGGATTGCTTCTGAACACAAAAAAGGGAATGAACCATCCAGCAATCAACGGTCTTGATGAATTGCCCCGCTGCCTTGCGGGTCAGGTCTTTATGATCAAAGGCTCGGAGTAAAGTCCCTTAAGTCAACCCTGTTCCTCGGCCTGGGCAATCGGGAAGACCTATACCCACATAACTCACGAAGCTTTCATACTTTTCAAACATTTCCAATGACTATCAGTTTTCCCTTTTGTTGTTGTCAACCATGTGTTGTGGCACTGCCAATTGTGTATTGATCAAGTGTTGTATAATAGTAATAGTAATAATATTAATAATGATAATAATAAAACTAAGCAGTGCTCGGACGAGAACGGGTGTTTCCAGCTTGGTACGGTCGCGGCCAAGCAGATGAGACTGGAGTATAACAGCAATGGCGGTTACGTAGACGAAGAGGATAAAGAAGTATATTGTACAGAACAGGTTGTCGGCGGCCAAGTTTAGTAATACTGAGAAAATGGATTTACATGTCTAGACAAACTGGCGAGTTATCAATAGAACTAAATCACCTGTGGTTTCAAAGTGCAGACAGTTAACGGAATAGCAGAAACGGTCTGGCTAAAGGAAATTTATAAGAGCTAATTAATGTGAATACCTTTCAATCAAGTAAAGCCAATGGATACATACCAGAAAGGCATACTTCGAAGAAATGGTTACGGATGGGTCAACACAGCAGCCGTGCTCCCGAAAACTCATAAATCCCATCCACAGTTGACGGCATCAGACAGAAACATAATGGCGAAAAAGTGTCAGTGGTGTAACTATGTGGGCGCGTTTGACAATTGCAAGTGAATGAACAAGTGTGGAATACTACAGTATGGAAGGCAGAAATGACTTCGCTTTTAGAAAGCAGATCGTTGGGAACAGAGAAAATTACGATTGGTTTCAAGGTAAAAAGGAATAGTTTGACTCGGGAAACGGGCGACAGCCAAAATACCTAGCTGCAAAGTAAAACATAGTCAGAGACTAACCAGGATTTTTCCAATGACGCAGCGCAAAAATAGCGTGGGATGCTCTTTTCTTCCTCCAGCTGAAAACGGCGCTCCACGCCGTTTGTTACGATACACAGTTGCTGTAGGAAATTTGGTCAAAAAACTGTCCAGCATGAATATGACAGGTGATGGAAAGGGTGGTTAAGGAACATGATTGATTCCTAAAACTAACGACCAAGGGAAAAAACAGAGAATGAAAAAAATTCGGACATTCATAGCACACGATCTGGGCTATAGAAGTCGGTTTAACTTGTCTTCATGTTCGCATCTGCATCAGGCATCGCGTCCATCGAGAGCCTTAAGAATGCTTTCTACAAAGACCTATTTCCAACTTATCCTAGTACATTCATACACGTGCGATGACCTCCGAAACCCTCTGTTACCCTCAAGTCTTCAGTTACCTAGTTGCAACTCCGACAGGTCACACGTCCAACTCGTTGCTTTTGGACTTTGTGTAGGTGTTATTTCTATCGACACACCTGTTTTTCCATTTCTTCAGTAATCGCGTTTCACCCAAAAACGCTTTGCAAAATCAAAAAACGCATTTAATTTGGCTTTATACGCTTGCCTGTTCTCTAGCTGGTGTCCAAATACATACTGACAAGGTCCGCGCCCCATGAAGATCGCCGTTTCAGAACCCCAACCACCACAGCGTAACTTTCGGTAATCACCAGCAGACCCGAGTCCCCTCCCTTGGTTTCATGTAACAAGCAAGTACCCTTAATAGCGAATGGTAGCAACTGGATTGGTCCCCAAATGCTTGGCCACGTGGTGCCGACAATAACACCGTGGAATGGGATTGCGCAGGATGAATGTCGATCGTACCAGCAGCGGAAAAAATGTCCTGGTGGTCATTTTCTATACAAGCCAGTTTCCTTGCAGTACGATGAGCCCGTATCAACGGCACAACGATGATACACTTCAGTTTACACCCAAAAATTAACAAATGATACAAAGTTGATTTTCGGGTTTTGTAGCACCCGCCGTGTGTCTCGGATTGCGACATGCAATCTCAATCGTGGCCTCGGTTGACTTTGAAGTCAGGCTCCGCCAATACGGTCACTGGGACCGTCACCGAAGTGGAGGGTTTCGGTGTAGCTCTCTTCCATCAATGCACCCCCGACCGATGGTTTTGTCTTTGTTTAGACTCATCTTGTAGAGATAACCGAGATGGGAGTGGAACTCGGCGAATAATGCTTGGCGGCTATCGCCATGATCACTAGGCCAATAAGCTCCAAGAGCAGTGATTGACACAGCGGTTAAAGGTTGATTTTCGGGTTTTGGAGCCCCCCTGCCGTGTGTCTTGCACTGCGACACACAATCTCAATTGTGGTCTAGGTTGATTTTGAAGTCAGCCTCTGCCAATACGGGCGCTGGGATCGTGACCGACAAAAAGCCTGAACCCAGCGAATTATGAGAAACGCCAAACATCGGATCTGCGTCTTTAACCCACATTCAGGCATGGACAGGATGGCAGTTTGTCAGTCCAACCAAAAATTAGTAACCACACACAGACAGATAATCTCATGCTGCACCCGCCGTCATGCAGTGGGGGGAAGTTGCTTCACCTGCTGCGTACAGCGGGGTGGATAAACGAAAACACGTCACCTATTTTATATTCCTTCCACTCCGCACTCTTCTTTCACAGTCCCCATTTCACACAACCCCTACCTCGAATGACCACCAGGACGATTGCCCGAAACAATGGTACTGCTTTCGCACAAAGCGTTCAATAGCAAGTGCAGGAAGGTGTGCATATTAGCCTACCAGAACTCCAGTGAAAGTGCCGAGCGATACACTGGATTTGTCGCCATGGAATTCGATCGCTACGCCACTGATATTGCCGCACTTAGTGAGATTCGGTTTGTCGATCAAGGTAAGTTATACTTACTACTGGGTGGGAAACGTCACCACAGCTCCACGTGAACATGGGGTCGGACTTACACTACCCGACGGCCTAAATGACCAGCTGATCGAAAAAGCGACTAGCATCAGCCTAAGATCGATGACACTTCGTCTACGCCTTGGGCGAGGAAAAGTGCAAGTTTGATTAGCAAGGAGGGTGCCACCATGCGTTGTCTTGATAACACGAAACACAAGTTTTACACTCAGTTATCCTCTGTGATACGGTTCAGGAAAGCAATGGCAGTGGGTCGCGGCCAATGGCTTGAATACGTCAAGAATGCAATTGTCCATGTACACCAGAAAGGACCGTTGCATCAGGAAGAAAAACGCCAGTTACGGAAGCGACAGGTGATGATAGAGCCTAGCTCATGGATGGCAAGCACAAGGCGCTGTATTACACGCAGTTATGTGGGTCTCTGTCAAGCCGGCTTGATAAGCCCAAAGGTGGTCACGAGGGGCTAATATCGAAGACGTGACTAGCATGTAACTAGAGAAGGTAAGTATCGACGAATGGCAAGTACGCTGCTTCCGATTCCATTCACTAACCCAGGGTAATTGTTATGATCTACGTCTGTGTGCGATTCCAGTTGAACTGAATTCGTTCCATGCCAGATCCGAACCTCAGCCGAGAATCTGAAGGCAAAGCTTGGAAGCAAAAGCGTGTTGCGGAAGCAGCTACCGAAACGGACACGGGTAGTGTAAAATCAACGGACATTTTTAAGAATCAATCAAAGAAGATTGACGTATCAGAACAGCTAGGTTAGCTGTCCTGATTGGTAGATCAGTTCCCCTAGCCAGTGGGAAGGCTGCTGCGCTAGTCGTATAGACACAAACGTTCCTGAAACCACCTGTTTCGGTTGTACACCATTGGCTCAGTTTGTTTTCCCATTGAATTTTCCTGATAGCAATAATGAGATCAATGTGGCACGTGTGCTATATCACCGCTGCATTCGGACTGCATGTGAGCAAACGCGTCGATTTTCTCGCAGTTAATATGTTGCATATTGATATCCCCGATCTGGTTGCGTTTGATACGAATGTTAGCAAGGTGCCCACTTGTCGAAAACCGTCGCTTTGATTACTTGCTCCAGTAAACAGTCAATCGTTGTGGGAAGGAAAGGGGTGCGCAATCTTCGTGACTGCGCTACACTCAAAGAGCAGTTCCATCCAGTATGTAACAGGCTACGGCCCAGTCATTGCTGCGCAAATCGCGAATCCGATTTATTCCTTCGAATTCACATGAGTGTAGCTAACAGTGTCGTAACACAAGCTATAACATGGTCCCTTAGTGGGCACTGAGGTCTTGCGGTTGTTCGCAGTCTCAGTGAGAGGTAAATCCGGTAACTGAAGCCTACAACAATATGCATATTATTTCAATTAGTTACCCTGTGCGGCTTACATGACAACGAACGCAGCCCAACCCGTGTTTTACAAGCTTGAGCTAGAAGATTCCACTATATGAGAAACTATCAGAAGTGCAAAAGCTGCTGTTGACTGGCTCCAGGAAGAAAGTGCCGTCACCGGCCGGGTAAAAAAAACCAACCTCCCATTGGTTGCTTCCTACCCAATGAGCATCTAGCTGAGGGGCTTTGACACTCAGTTGAAACAACCGGCAAGGAAACGGCTTCTCTAATCGATAAGCAAATAAGGTTTTATGATTGAAATATGGTGCCACACATGATGACGAGTCATTAAGGCAGTTTAGGATCATGCTACATCTTGGTTATTAATCCGAATCGCAATCGCCTCTGCCGTCGACAGCAGGCAGCATCTAAATGCTCAGGTGCAACGTCCGGGTACACAGAAGATGGGTGTGAATGCGTCATGCGAATTCATTTCGTGATCAGAGAGTATAAGATGCGATAACACCGCACTCGTTATATGCTTCCTCACACCACTAGACAGTTCTCTCAAGCTCTAAGGGAGAATCGGCTGATCGTCTTCCTAATATACTGTGGTGGATTAAAGGAAGACACTACTGCAACAGTTATCAGTAGCAGGGAAGTGTCAGGATGCGAAATAGCAACTAGCCAACAGCAGGCCGCAATGATTCGCCCGAAGGAGAGGAACACTTTAGAACCACAGTTGTATGCGCGCGAGGAATGGATGCACAGGCAATGTACACAACACATCCCCTAGACACCGAAGGAAACCTGCACCATGCAACCTCCAACAGGGCCTGCGAATATGAGTGGATGTCTCATTTGTCGGAACGGATGCGCCTAGTATAAGCTATGTCTGACGCAACAAATGATTCGGCTTACACCTCGGGTTCTTGCAAAATTGTACACACAAGGAAGTCTGTAACTGTATCCTGTCCTTAAGTTGCCGGTGCCCAATCGGTGTTGGGTAGAAGCTTACGCGTAGATCGGTAGCAAAAGACGTTCTCACTGTTGCTAAGGAAAGTCTTCGGGTGGTCCGTTCCGCTATGGCGTCGCCCTTAAACGATAAATATCATGCGCTTCTCCGCGGAAACAAGTTTGTGCTTTGGCACTTGTGGTTCCTTGTGGCTCTGGATGAATTTTTCAGGGTACCCATTAAGCTCGAATACGCTTCGAATAAAGCTAAGCTCAACTTAAAGCATATTTTCTGTATATATTCTCCTTGTCCTCTCCGTTAGGCAACGGAGGAGGTTCCGTTTTTGACTTAAAGAAACAAAACTACGAAATGGATGTATTGCCCATTAAGGTTTCCTTTCAGTGCACCCTCCTCCGCATTGACTTGTCTGATGCCCTACTGGTTTGGACAAATAAAAATGATAATGAGTCATTGCGTTCTAAATCGATGGTGAAGGATATTACTATGTACGGAGTTAAAGTGGGTCAACAGATCATTGACGCATATTCTATTATCCGCGATACTAAATTTGTCGTCTACATATCGACCATGACACACCAAGCTGTCGATGGATTCGTTCAGCTGGTTGTTCTCCAATTTGCTCATGAAGACGTCCGCGAGTAACGGCCCTAATGGTGGACGCATGGCCACCCCATCTGTTTGTTGATACAACGTTCCGTCAAACTGAGGCGGAATAATTCTCGTACATATGAGCAGCAGTCGTCTCAATCAGTCTGGTTGAATATTAACGTCGATGGCACGCAGCTGGATGAACTCGCACCTCTTCCAATGGAACATTGGTAAAATGACCACATCTAATGAGAACATCTTCCGCCCAGCTAAGAAGCTGTCTCACTGAGTCAAGAACTCAAAGATGTCCTTGAGACTATGTCTGGCTATGGCATTTCTGACTGATTCCAGCCGTTGGACGAGCCACTTGGCGAATGAATTATAGGGCGAATTGCACCAACCTGGTATCCGCCTTAGCGGTAGCCCTTCCTTTGGCCAAGCCATGCAGTATGGGAATCGTTCCAATCAATCTGGTGTATTCGAATATACCTGAGTCGATTACATTCCACTGCTTTAAGCAACGCAGTTCGGTTATGCGTCACTCGATTGACTGTGTCTCGTCGTTTTCATTACCCATGCTACGAAATTTGGACCCATCAGAAAGAATGGCATACATCTTGCTGAGGTAGTCTGATCTGTCCATCAACAGACCTACGCCTGCTGCTACCAATGAAAGTGGCAAGACAGGCAACGATCAAGAAGATCTAGCTCCTGGTAGTAGAGTCACAGACCTGACAAGCAGCCGGTGATCCCGCAATATCTCTCTGGAAATGCAAAGCGAATACAGATTCGCAATGGTCAAACAAAAGTAGTTCGCTAGCCTAAAGTCATGATAACTTTCCACAATATTACGGAAACAGTCAAACATAGACTCAGTGATCCTAAGTAAAAACGGGAAACAAAAGTAAAACGCCAAGTAGCAGAGAGGAGAGAAGTATGCGAATCAGGGAAGAAACCTACCGGTTGGTGCTGAACGGACAGAGTGATATGGTGTGGCTGCACAGGAAAGAACTGTTTTAAGCAAACATGGTACATACCATACCAGCCAAGTTTTCCAATGCTCGGTAAAGGCTTTCAGTAAGTTTTAAATGTATACAGTTTGGCTCTCCCATCTGAAATAAGACAAAGCAAAACATCGATTTGTCCACCGTAGGACGATGGCAAAGGTAGAGGAGATGACTAACAATCTCGGCTAAGCGATACGAAAATAAGGCTAAGCGGAAGCACTTCCAGCATTAAAAAAAACTTCGCAAGCATTGCAGAGGTACCAAAACGGGGTGATTAACCAGAAAGCTAGCTCATCTCGGTCAGGAAAGGTGAACCGAGAACCGAAAAGAGAATAACCCAATAGTAATAAGTTAAATGGATAAAAAGTGACTAGTAACAGGAGCACAAAAATTCAAAACAGATCGGCAAGAAAAGATATCAACAACGTGTATCGGGTGAGATGGGGCTTACACTAGGCGCTTCTATTGTGGCACCAATTGAGATAGATTGATTACGTCCTACGCATGCCAAATGAGCTGCTAGCATGCCGCGCCTTATTCGCGCTCCAAGATCCGCACTGTAAGAGGCCACGTGGAGGTCAGCTGTTCACTTGGTGACAGGGCATTAAATCATCGACATGTTACCCATTCTTCGCAGGCTCCGTAACTCAATTAGTCTGGGTAACCAAAGATGAAAAGCGATAGCCGCTTCAACCGCTCAAGGAAATGGCTCAAAACCGTATGCAATAGAAGTAGTGCACGTAAATTTGTGTCCTCATGATTCAAAAAGCATTAACAACAAGTGCAAAAAGAATTGATAAAAAATAAAATGCATGCTCGTCATTCCACCTTATTATTTTCATATTCTTCCAAAAATGTACACTTTGAATTTGCATACGCTCCCAACTGCACTAAGATATATATATACATATATATATACATATATACATATATACATATATATATATATATATATATATATATATATATATATATGGTTGGCGGCGTCCGGTTTCGGATTTGTCTGTCATTGTGGACAGCTACAGGACGCCTGCGCCTACAGAGCGACCATGGGTGGCTTGCGTTGCACCACCCACAGCTCCATCCATACACCCCATATCCAGTGTAAACCCGAAGGAATAAGACCGGGAGTCAGGTGAATGGGAGCCACGTTTCATCAGTGGAGCGAGCCCACACTCCTTCACAGGCAAACACAAGCACGCTCTATTTGGGGAATCAAGTGCACACAAGGCGGTGGCTGAACCGTAGTCCGCTCCACACTGAATGCATGGAACCACTCTTCCAGCCTAGCACGACCACAAGGACCGTGCACACCGTCCTCTCCAACAACGACCAACTGTCTCCTGGAGCCAGTACAGTCGAGGTGGTGGGTAATAGACAGGTAGGCACCTTGTCAACATGCACATCAAGCGCAGCCATACCTATGACGTCAAACAACAGCCAATCATTCGAAATGCCGATATCAAATAAAAGATATCGAAGAGAGCGAACTTATATGACGACATAAATACTCGCAAAATGAGCATATGGAGATGTTCCGACTCAAAAGAAATTGACATAGGTCGTCGACCGTTTCACGTAGGGGCACATTCGTGAAAAGCGATTCCATGTCTATGGAATACATGAGCTCCGCGTTGAGTGTTGTTTGTTCTAGTATATTCGCCAATTCAAAGGAGTCTTTCAAACAATGCGTGCTCAAGATCTTACGCACGGGTTCTAAGAGATTTGCCAACCAGCGGGCTACTTTGTGGTAAGGTGAATTATGCATGCACATTATTGGGCATAGTGGAATTTCCGCCTTGTGCAGCTTCGGCGCACCCTCATCCTTGGTGTTTCCATCCCTGTCGGTTTTAGCTGACGATATCGTGACTCGGAGATATAATCATGGAACACAAGAATTTGTAGATGCCTTGTAATTTCTCCACCAAGATATTTCTGTCCAGCGCCTTGTCAATACGAGACTTGCGTCCGTCTACGAGATTCGACTGGTCGCCGGCTGGCTCAAAGGTTGGCGGAAGACTTCCCATTGTGGTTAAGGCATTTGCTGCCTCACCAAGGGGGAGTAGACCAAAGAATGAACCAGAACCCTGCTTCATCTATCACCAGACACCTAATGACGACTCGTCACCAGGTGAACCCAATCGATTCATTCAAGGTGCTAGTGCGCAACAGGAACCCGACGTTGTTGGCAATTGGCGAAGCGCTACTGATAAGGTTGCATTGTTCCGTGCTCTGTGCTCAGAAATAACTGAGACTATCAAGCAGATTGTCTTGAAACTGATTACGTCATTCACATTAATTTTATCTGCTTAGCTATGTTACTAAGTGTGGACCGTATTTATTGTGTTTTGTTCTGCCCACAGTGTGTAGCGACCGTGGAGAGCAGTCGAAATGTTAACATATCGCAGCCTATATCTTCTTACTGCAGTAAAGAAAGTTATTCCGTATTCGTCGGGAAACGCGCAGCAGGAGATGTGGTGTTAGTGAAACTATACGAGACGAGTGGACAGCCTATCCACAATTGGTCAAAACACTTGCAGCGTTGGGCTGAACCTTTTGGAAAATAATTTAATCTGCCGAAATTGTTCGATTCCTCACCGGGCAGTGATCGCCCTGCTCCCTTGTCTGTCTCTTTGGATCCGCCCTCTCGCTCCGAAGTCAAACTGTCGGACTGTTGAAATTGAACAAAGTTGCGGGATCAGATGATCTTCCTCCAGCCCTCTTCAAATTCGGGAGGCCTGCTCTTGTTGATGATTTACTCGAATTTCTAGTGAAACTGTGGGAGCAGGAATCTGTCCCAACCGACTGGAGCCGCTCAGTTATAATTCGGATCTTCAAAGGAGCCTCGCGTTTGGAATACGTCAACTATAGATGAATCAGTCTGATCCCCGTTGCCTCCGAATTATTTGCCTCTGTAATCCTTCACAGGCTGATTGGCGTCCGTGAAAGCCAGATTCGTGAGGAGCAAGCCGGGTTTCATCGAGGTCGTGGCTGCTTCGACCACATCTTCACATTGCGTCAATTGTTGGAGCACCGTCACACATATTGGCGGCCCACCGTAGTCGTGTTCCTCGACATCAAAGGTGCCTTCGATTCGGTTGATCGATGTGCCCTCTGGGACTGACTACTCAGGAAAGGTGTGCCCGAAAAATATGTAAATATTATCCGCGCACTATACGCGCGTAGCACGGGCAGAGGGAAGGCATACGGCAAGCTGGGTGAGATAAGGATGCCTGTTGTCACCTTTTCTCTTCAACTTGGTTATTGAGGAAGTCATGGAGGTTACATTCACAGGACACAACTTAGAAGGTGTGAAGCTAATCCCGGAAGAAGACTTCTTGACTTGGAGTATGCAGACGACATTGCCCTCATCTGTGACAGCTCACAAACGTGGCAAGCGGCACTGGACAGATTAGCACTGGCATTCAGCCGCTTCGGGCTTTGCTTTGCACCATCGAAGTGCAAAGCTTTCTTCCAAGATTGACAGGGATCGTCTCCAGCGCTGATCCCTGGTGGGGATCAGCTAGCAATCGTTCAAAAATTCAACTGCCTAGGAAGTTGTATCAGCGCCCTTGGAATCAAAGATGAGACCACGAACCGTATAACAAAAGCTCGAAGTGCTTTTGCTAGTCTTCGCCACCTCTGGCGGCGGCGCGACATCACTCTCGCCCTGAAGGGTAGAGTGTACAATGTAGCGGTACGTTCGACCTTACTGTACGGTTGAGAAACCTGGCCCCTAAGGTCGGCGGACATAAAGAGGCTAGTTACGTTCGACCATCGGTGACTTCGCAGTTTGGCTCACATATGGTGGGAACACCGCGTGAGTAACGAGCGTGTTCGACGCCTTGTTTATGGCACAGAAAAAGGAAATGAACCGCTCAGCACCGTCATTTCACGCACCAGGCTCCGATGGCTCGGCCACGTGTTGCGCATGCCAGCCCACCGACTCCCGCGACGTGTTGTTTGCTCACCGTGGGTGTGGGTGGAAGAAGAGTAGGGGTGGCCAAGCGATGACTTGGTCGAGAGGAATGAAGGCCCTCACTTCTGAGCTGGCCTCGGTTGGAGCGTCACGGCTGCCTGATTGGGGTCCAAAAGACGATGAACACGTTTGGCTAGATACACTTGCTGACATGGCAAGGAGCCGACCTCAGTGACGTTAGTGCCGTAAGTTTCTTTATCCCTCCCCATCCATTTTAACCTTCCCCTGCAACAACGATCTCATTTCGTAGCATAATATAATTTTATATACTGTATTTTTCGTTGCCTAGTAGCCGGCTGGTAGCTTTCCGGAACGATGCTCATGCGCTGCTGGTATGCAACTGTTTCATTTATTTGCCTTTTTCTTTTACGAATTGCGAATTGTGTTTTACACCTGTAACTAACGTGTATAATGATGATGACTGCCTTGCATGGTGATGACGCACAGATCACACAGGCGGTTCTAAAACACTTAGCAACTGAAGCATCAAACTATGGCATGACTGTCGCGCGGTGCTGCTGTATGGGAGTGAGTCCTGGCTGATATATATATATATATATATATATATATATATATATATATATATATATATATAGTCGATTCCGGTTAATCGGACCACATCGGGACCAGACCATTTTGGTCCTATTAAGCGGCCGGTCCGATTAACCGAAGTTACCCGATGTAACAAGATGGGACGTGCTATACATAACATAGGAAACTACTATTATGACCTGTGTTGGCGGCATATATTTATAGAAAACACACAAAAAAGAACTGCTTTGTTAACGAACTTTGTTTACTGAAAAAGAAATTTACAAACAAATTCTTCGTAACGACCTACAAGATATTCAGCATGTGAAGTACAGTTTTATCCAAAGGGATTACCGAATTCCATTCAGCGTTTGAAGACCGTATCCAGTGTGATTTGACGCATTCTTTTAACAGACTGCATTCGCACAAAATCACCACAAACATGTAACGCAGTAATAGGACTACCTTCATTTCCTTCCTGCATGAAATAGCGATGCAATGTTTCAATGTATTTCCTTGCATCCTGTTTTGTGACTGGCATCAACACGTTAGGGTTCTCTTCATCAATTCCGTGGTCTTCTGTTGCTGTCGTGTG